GACTTCACCGAACATAAATATCAATGGAACTGAAAGCACACTTTGATATTGAGTAGTTCCTCAGAATTAGTATCACGTACAGACTTATGTTACGATATAGTTCCTCTTGATCCTTTCGAGGTGAAGTATTGTACAGCCTCGTTCAGATGTAAGGCGGTAAACCGCGACGTTATTTCCTATTATGACGTGAATACACTTCACTTGTATGTATCTTATAACACAGAGCACAGTGAACACGTGCACGAACTTTGTTGCGTGCAGTTATGATTCATTTACACATTTTTAAAAAAGAGGGAAAACGATAACAACCACCATTCTGATAGAATTCAACAGGGTATACACTCTAGTACATGTGCGTCAGTCAAACCGCCAAACCGAGTTTATACCGACACAATCTCAGCCATTGGTGTTGATCTACATTTGCCATTCCTTAAAAGGAGAGAAATGATGAATGCCCTTGTGTAAGTACTTGCCATATGCCCTCACGGTGACCATAACGTACAAATACTCCCTAGAGGGTAGAGATGGTGCACACTGTGTGTGAATGAATCAGATGACAGGGGTAAGTATATATGTAAAGCGCTTAGAAACGGTATTGCGTATTAAACGCTACATAAATCTTGATTATTAGTATTAGTATAATTATTATTAATGTCATTTTCTGTTTGGTCTGTTTTTCAGTCTGGTGTTCGTATAATTGGTGTGACTAAGGTAAGCCAGAATGAAACAAGTTTGCTACTTGAATTTCGGAAACAAAAAGAAAGAGGAAGTGAATTAGAATATAAGCAACACTACAATCAGCACTCTACAATTCAGTTTTTTTGCAGGTAAATATTTGATCGACAAGATTGTCTGTGACGTACAATCTGGGTCAATCTCCCATTCTGGTGGTTTCGTTCAAAGGCCAGTATTTTTATTTTTTACTTCCCACTTCCCCCATTGCTTACATATTCTTTACGAATGCACACATTTTCTCGTGAACTTATTTCTTATCTTTTGATTTATTGTGTGTATGTATTCTGATATATGGTTTGTGCTTTGTACTCGTAGAATATTGTTGAAATTGAATTTTTTAAAAATCTTTCCTACTTTTCCTACAGCCCCGTTCCTTTTGATTTTTTTCTTCTCTTGTTCGTATATTGAAACTGAATTAGCCAACTCTTTCCTTCTCCCTTTCTATGTTCTTCCCCATCTTATGATGTATTAATGTTGTACATTATCATGCATTCTTCCTCCTTTATTCTTCTGCTATTTAGATCAAAACCATGCTCATATGTACACATTGATTATTCTAGTATTCCCCTATACACCTCTCTCTCCGTCTCCCCGCCCCCTCTCTCTCTCTCTCTCTCTCTTCATCGCTCATAATAGACTCTTAGACTAGCTATTTCCACAACTGCCATACTCCCGGGTTCTACCCCCTCCCTCCCCCTCCCTCTCTCTCTCTCTCTCTCTCTCCCATACGCGCCCACACAATCACGTCAATCATTACGGCATACATTTTCTCTTCCTAGTTCTAAACTAATCATAGATTTAAAGGATGTTCTTCGCTTTTATTCCTCCTTCTTGTTTCAAACAAGGCCACGTTTCTTTGTTATTCTATTTTCTTCTGTCAGGCAAATAGATTTCATAAATAATGTACCAATTATCTCTTGTTATGTGGAACAAGTTAGCAAGGTTTATTTTCAGTTTTAGAGACGATTGTTCATAAAAGATTTATCGAATTATAATACAGAAGTAAAAATGTTAGGCTTATGGTGATCATAATAGCCGCACGACGCCTGTTTAAAAATAATTAACAAGTGTTCACACTAAGAACTTCAAAGTTAATAAAATGAGTGAACGTTGCAGGTTATATAGTTTCTATGAGTAGTAGCCATAGAAATATCCCTTAACATGCCCCCAAAATGATTATTATACCGTGTGAGTCCAAAAAAAGTTTACACCTAGAAAATTGCTAATTACTTTGGAAATCATTTATGAACCGTAAAATATTATACATCTTTTAAAAGAGTGTTTTATGATAAATCATTTGGTACCACTTTTGTGTGATATGTGTTCATGCTTGGATGAACAGTAGGCATTGTTTGCGAGAGTGCAAAAATCGACTTGCGCCAAAGTTATGCCTATAGTGCGTATTCTGTTGGCATTAGCGGAATGAGAGAATGAATTGAATGTATCAAATGAAATGCATTGCATATGCTTTTTGCAGAAGCAAAGTCACACACGCGCGCGTAAAATGTTCGTTGATATTTGATATTCGAAATTTGATATGTGTGGCATGAATAATCTTGTTAGGGATGTTATTTCGATCTGCAGAGACCGAATAAATACCCAAATCCCAATTGTTTTATTCAAACATCACATAAGCAACTTTGGCGCAAGTCGAATTTTGCACTCACGCAAACAATACCTCCTGTTCATCCAAGCGTGAACATATACCACAAAAAAATGTACCAAATGATTTGGGATAAAACACTATCATAAGATGTATAGTCATTTAATGTTCGCAGATGATTCTTTAAATAACAAGTAATTTTCTAGGTGTAAACTTTTTTTTGACTCACACTGTAGTGAATGCAGTATCAATGTAGATATGTTGTAGGAAACTTTGGCAAATTAAACATTCAGTGTTGTGTCGTTTAGGATTTCAAAGTTTGTGGCATAACATTTTCTTGAATCTAAAGCTTAACTAATAGGAAACGAAATATGACTAATAAATCTATACCAGTAACAAATCACTGGTATCACAATAGACAGAATGTATTCTCTAGTACAAACATTTGTTTGCACCACTGTGAGGTCTCGGGAGACTTCATATGTTGCCATGAGATAATCCATATAATAATAATAATAAAGTGTATTTATGTAGCGCATAATAAATTGTAAATTTCTCTATGCGCTTTACAGTTGTATACAATCATAACAATTTGAATATACATAAACAACATTAATACAACAATAAATAACAAAATAGATAGGCTAATGACAAAAAATATTTATGAGAAAGTAAACCCATTAATGCACCTATAATTACACATACACAATTAACATTACATATAACAAATTCAACAAACGGACAGACACTCATATACGAATGCAAATCATGTAAGGTGTAGTTTTGATCAGTCTCGAGGGGTTCCTGCAAAGCTTCAAGTTATATTTTTAATAAATTGCTCTAAATTTGTGATTATTAGTACTTAAGGATAAATTTAAATCTCTACATAAACTTTGCATTGTGTTTTTAAAGCACTTTTTCTAAATAAATCACTTAAAAAATTGTATAAGCTTTACTCTGTCCAGCAGGTTGTATCCCTGATTAAAGATTATTTAACAATAAATCAGAAACGTGATCATTTATAGCTACATGCGATAGTCGTGCACATGATGAACAGCTTCTCTGTTCCTTAACTGAATAAGCACAGTTGATGCCCTTAACAAAATATGTTAGTTTTGTAAATGTAGAAAGTATATTTGTCTCATTCCGGATCATGTGCATGAATTCCATAAAGAAGGCTCAAAGACTAAGTCCACTCCAAAACTAATTTGCTTTTAATAGATGCAGTAATCGAGAGAAACAGAGCAAAACAACTTCGAGAAAAAATCGGCTAACCAATAAGGAACTTAAGAATTGTTGAATAAGCATGAGCAAGTATGTAACAATGGTCTGGTTATCAGTTTGTGACGTCATGTTCTTACCATTTATCAATCGCTTTTATATTTTAATCCCAATAATATCCCTTGTTATCCCCAAAACTTGATTTCTCCATGCCTTTACCCAGGTAAACTAATTTGAATGACACTGTGTGCATGACATTTCACAAAAGCTTTATGAACTCAGAAGAATTGATTTTATTTTCTGAATATTGTATGCTCTTAATTATTGATTTTCATAAATAGTTTATCAAAATTGAAAGTGTACATGATTTAACTGAGAAAAAAATTATAATCATGCTATCACACAAAAACATATTACTATCAATATAACTTGGATGCTGTTGTGAAGAAACAGGTTTCTTAGGGAGGGGGGGGGGGAGGAATGGGAATTGTATTATCAACATGAAGAAAACAATTGGTGGATAGTGAGGCAATGACGTCACAGACTTAATATCTTAAATGAACTTGTACAAACGAAGATCGTAAAAAAGTACTGTCGCGGACTCAATATGTTATTTTTTACAAAAGGAAAAGCAAAGTGATGATGTTAAATAAAAAAAAAAAAGAAGCTTGTTAGTTGTAATTACTTCTTTGTTTTATATCCACAATGTAAGGAGGATAGACAGAAAGGGGCAGATAGAGAGTGCGAGAGAGAGAGAGAGAGAGAGAGAGAGAGAGAGACAAAGAAAGAGAGAGAGAGAGGGGTTGGGCGAACGTCGTTTCGCCTCCATTACCAAATAATTAACATATGGTGTTGTTGTTGTTGTTCCTTGGTTTTAAGGCTGACCAATCTGCTTCTGCTTCATCTGTTCTTATATCCCCCCTAATGTTTGAAGTACAAAACAGAGTTTAAAGATGATAATATTACGACATACTTCTGTTACATCCAAGTATTTCATAAACGCTTAAAGGGAAAATTGAGTTTTGTTGCAGAGGGCGCTACTCAAAAAGATTGTTGTGAGATAGTGATAAGCTGAGTGTCAAATCTGAAAGAACATATAATTTAGATGACAAAATCATCTTTGTTCAATCCAAATCAATTGAGAGACGTCGTTGGTTGTTGGTTAGTTGGTTATTTTAACTGACTGCTAAGAAAGCGTAAATACTTGTAAGTAAGCAACCACACGGCCGACGGCTTTAGGTCCTCTCCGAGGGACCTGGTAATGAGGATTAATGCCTTACCAAAGGGCACTAGCGCATCGCCTTGGTGGTTTCGAACCCGGGTCACCGGATTACGAGACCACTGCTCTACCGACTGAGCTATCGCGCCTTCACGTCTGAAATATCCATAAATATAAATATTTCTAATAGTTGTGGTGCCCCACAAATATTCGATAATTTGAACCAGCCATAGTGCCTTATACGTTTTATTCCAGCCATGCCGATGTGAGCTTTGTGTTGGCTTTTTCGTGTGGGGTATAATAAGCACAACCATCCGGCCCGTGTATTGTTTTGTAATAATCAATTAATTCATTAACGGTCACCGATTTTTTTTTCTTTTCTTCTTGAAAGTGGAGCTGAATTGGTTTGATCGTGATGGCTAAAATTATCTTCATAGCAATTGTAGGTCATTACAGATAACTAGAAATGTCATTAATAACAATAAGAACAATAACTATGCACTGTGTAGGCATTTGCGGTCTGAAACAAGGACTCAGCTATCCCTTTAACAGTAGAATATCCATTGTACCCTGGTTCATAGGATTAAATGACAATGAATATTACTATATTGATCATTTATATCTTTTTATTCGATTGCTTGCACGTACCGAGTTCAAATTCGACTTTTTCAATGATTGAGAAATAATCGCTTCAATCATTAGATTCAAATTCATGTAAAATTATATCTCACCCTTGAAATCTGTACAATCTAGCACAAGGGAAGTTTGGAACATTCCCGATATTTTCTTTCAAACTGTTTTAGAACGATTGATGCACTTTACAAATTAACAACTATGTTATGATAACAACCGTGCAATATAACATCTATTGAATATCATGTGACCAACAATCCTCCAATCAAATGACAAGGATCCACGTAGGTGTTGTATAAGTTATGACAATATTGCCCATAGCACATGGTAGCCTTTGGAAGACATACACCATGATGTGAATGGTATAATATATACAACGAATAGTACTGAACTGAATTAAATTTCATCTACGCTTTTGTAAAATTCATTCGCTATCAAGTTAGTTGGCACTGAATGGAATTCGGTGTTTTGATACATCTCACCGTCCCCCTCTCCAACCACCGCATCGTTCATATTATCAGCACGGGAAGTAGGCGGGGTTACTGTACCGTAGAGTTCGTTGTCGACCATTGAGTCATCTTCCTCATAAGTTTCATAGACGTTCCCGTCAGGGTTTTCATAAACGGCGTCATTTTCCTGATCAGCCACCGCGCCGTGCTTGTGTGCGCGAGAAGTTATCGGGGATGGAGCACCGTAAAGCTCGTTGTCAACCATAACCTTTTCATCTTCATAACCTTCATAAGCGTCCTCATCAGTTTCGGGAGCACCGCTCTTGGGATGACCAGGTTTTGGACGTCCAGGACTCCGATGAGATGTAGTTATGGCGTGGTGTTTCGCTACCTTATGATCAGTAGAGTTATGATTCAATGATGACGGGCTCACAGTTTGTTCATCACTTGTTCCATATAAAACATTATCCACGAAACCATCTTCGGTATCAGTTTTATACCAACCATTCGAACCCTTGATGACAGAGGGTGTGTCGGAATCCCCAAATCCATCATTTTGATCGCTGTCTGGCTCAAGCGTTAGATAATATGGTGCGTGAGGATTACTGTCTGCTGGCTTGCTATCTTCGTAGCAGTTTGCAACCGCGGCATAGTTCTCCATTTCGTTTTCATCATCGGGTGAGACAGGTTTAGCCGCACGACGCCTGTAGGAAAATCAGTACCAAAGGGAACACACTAAAACTTCAAAGTTAATTAAATCAACATACGGAAGCTCTGATATATAGGAGTGACCTTTTTCAAAATAGTAAATTAACGATTTGACCTGCTTGATCGAATTCTTACACTGTTCGATATATCGTGTTATAAGTATTGATTATAATGACGAAACTTGTAAATGTTGATTTAACATTTTAACACAATTATACATACGTAACGTAAAAATACAAAGGATTATCTTTTAAATTTTGTATTAATTTCTTTTGGTTGCATTTGGGGGTGTTACGGTCTAGTCGAATTCGTGGTAATATCAAAGGAATTAAGAATGGTTTGTTCAAACCATGACAATTGGCACAAAGGTCGAATTGTATATGCTAAACAGTCTTGGATATATATAGCATAGACTTGTTTTAATTTAACAATTTCTAAAGAAGAAAAAATACTCGCCGAAGCAAGGAATCTTAAAAATTATTTTTTATCAAAAGAGTGTGTTTTCGGTTAAAAACATTAAAGTTTCCTGTGCTGAAAAAAGTAACAGTTCATATATGAAATAATTCTGGACTGGGGGTGATTTTAATATTTTCAACATTGATCGCCAAATTAAAACATGCCTCCAAAATGTAAAAGTATAGAATCATGGTGAATTTAGGGCAAAGGTAAGAAAAGTGGCGTTACTGTGTACTAATAATGATAACTAATAATAAACTAAGATTATTTTTTTAACATACCTTCTGAACAAGACGGTGCTTAAAACGATTACCACTAAGATGAAGAGAATGACCACCGAGCTTCCAGCTGCAATAGCTTTCAAGAGAAATAATATAAAGATATGTATTTGTGTGTATATAAATAGCGGAAACATATTTCGTTTTCATTTAAAATTATTTCCTATTGAAACCTGTAACAAAGAAGCCCGTCATCTCTCCTGTGTTGAGTAGTCTTTATATACATGATCACTATATATTATATGAAGGATTGTATTTTGTAATAACTATTTCACAATGTTCTGTTTTAAACATCGGATTATATACATCTTCAATAAATGACTTTGAATGAAATAAGTGTATTATTTTCTTGTGATGTTTGAATGTTTGTATTTATGATTTTCTTCAAATTTATATCAAACAACGTTGTTTTTAAAGAACCGCATTTGACATGTCCCATTGCCGATTAGATATTGACGATAATAATAATTCTAATTCTCTGATAATCGCGAAGTTACTCACCTCCAGAAGGTAATGAATTCCCCTTTGGACTTTCTGTGATGAAAACGAAAACATTGGAATTATAGAACCAACAGTGAGAATCAAAACAAACCAAGATCACTTAGTTGTAATGTATTATAATTGAATATGCTACTCTAATTGATTTTCATAAATATTTGCTATCTGTATTAACTTTGCTAGTAATGAAGTAATACTATTGGCTACACGTCTTTTGTTTAACGTTTTTATATTTCTATATTGTACTATTTAAATATACTTGTACATGCTTATTGTTTTACTTTGTAAATCTCAAAGTGAAACCTCTGTTTATTATGCGCTCAATAAATCTATATATCTTTATTATTATTATCATTATTATTATTAATAAATAAGTAATGTAGAACCAAAAACATTTACTATCTCGTATACCAATCATAGCTATTTAAGACCGACACTTATTTAAATATGTCACCAGTTGCGGGTTGTCAACCCTCAGTAGCTCTTCAGAGCAAGCAAAATATGTACAAAACAGTCGACCATAGTCAGATAAAGCTCTCAGTCGTGATTTAATCATTTCGCGTCAATTTTGATGTGGAACAATCGATATATACTTAAACACTTCATGCCCAACCAGGTTTCTGGGTTTACAAAAGGAAAAAAAACATTGAGCAAAAACAAATAGTAAAGTGCTCTAAAAGTTACGATTTTAGTAAGCATTGTCTTTTTGCATTAAAAGGAAGCTTTTATTCCAAATCAAAATAAGGAATTTTATTTCTTGAAATTAGGACACATTCGAGAGCTACATTCTAAAACCATAAAATTTACGTCTTTTATATTTTGAAGGGCAAAGGAGTAGCATTTTTAAACCGGTAGATGAACTCTTTTATCAAGCTTTATTTAGCATTTATACTGTTGGATCTAACATGCTACAAGTGTAATCTACTATTTTGGGAATGGTGACTCTCATCGGCCCTTTCAAACGTCGATTTAATATGTTGAGCTTTTAGAGTGGCAGGGTGGAAATATGATCACGATGCAATAAGCAAGTACTTCTAGATTGAATTTAAATCAATAATAATTTATGTTAAGTCATAATAGAATGGCTATCGCAACTGCAGGCCTTGTTTACGAGCGGATAGGGGTGGGGTTAGATGTAGACGGTAGGGTTTTTGACTTCTTAATTCGTGGACCAATTTTTTGAAGGAAGAAACGAGGGATTACCCCCTGTGATCCATGGCTAAGCTTTTCTTTAAAATTGTGCCAAGAGCTCTTAAATATATTCAAACCTGTGGATTTTGTAGAAAACCATGTTGTTAGTGCTATTGATGTTAGTAGCGATGTTGATAAAGATGCCGTCGTTGTCAATGACATTTCAAAATCAAGAAAAGAGAACAAATGATAGTATCCGATATAAAATAAAATGTTAGTAAACTAAAGCAAATGTTGTGATATCATTTTCTAAAATAATCAAATCTAAATATAGATGTGGTTTTATCATGCACACAAGCGGTAAAATCATCGGGGTAAATCTAAATGAAAGTTGAAAGAAATCAGGACCTTTTTGATGATAAGCTCATTGTCAGTTATTAAGGATCATCTTTTCCAGGAATATCTTCCTTTCATATTCTCTTTCTCATGCTTTAAGTACATTGCTACTTTATTTATATAGATACCTGCTGAAATTCAATTAAATATAATTATACAGGGAACATAATTCAAATATTAAGAAAGTATTCGAAGTGATTCAATGTAACTATACATATAAGCCCGAGGATTAGATCATGCAAAAATAGTATCGTAAATCAACGAAGACGATCTCATAAGCCCCGTGCAACACTTTTTGAAACGTGCTAACATGGCAATGATTTGATTTTGAAGGCTTACTTCAAAACATCGGATCATCGTGTTCGGTCGGGTGGTCGCGTTACACAACCTTTTGTGAAGCTAAAACGGAAGATCATGTAAAGATGCACGTTTAATAACTATTAAGGACGCGACCTTTCGTAGCTTTGCCGTAGGATTAGAATAAAGTGTCAGGTAAATTGGACCCGATTATTGGACCCGATTATTTGAAATGTCGGTAGGTTATTTCACAAACATTCCCACCGACAGTTCGTAAATAAAGGGGCATGTTTTCGCAAAAGGTCGGGTAACGCGGCCACCCGACTCGACAGGATAACTCGATGATTCGAAGTAAGCCGTTTTTTGTGGTCGTGTTTAGAACAGATTAATATCTTGATACAATGTTAAACCTGTTTGTGATTCTGTGCTTTGCAGAGAAGCTTGCGTTGTAAACGTCAATGGTGTCGTAAGCCTTATCTCTGAAAAAATGAAAAACAATATCTATCTGTTAGGTTCAACATAAAATAAAAGTCTTCAAATAGCAGTTAGACTAGAGTTGCAAAATAAAAAAAACAGGTAGTAACAGTTTTATGATGAAATATAAACCTACAACTTTTTTCTTATGGCAGTTGGATTATATTAGTAAAGTAAATGTTAGTTGTGGCTCTTGCATTGAGGCAGGAAAAGCTCTGGAAGATTTTTTTGTAAAAAAACAAAATGATCGAAGTACAATGGGTAGGTCGGCTTTAGCTCCAAAAATCGTAGGGCTCAGTCCACTCAAGAAATAAATCCTACCAGGTACCCACTTACTACGATATTTGAATAGATTGTGGAAAGCGTAGATCAATGTCTTGCCGAAGGAAGTTGGGATGCGGCAGGGATTCGAATCCCGAACCATACCGTGTTCTCTGTCAGAAACCCTAACTACTAGTCCACAACACATATATCTTAGATGCCTTACCTTTGTCACAGGTGGAACCAGTGTAGTGTGGGGTACATGTACATGTGAATGATGATATATCTACTTCACTGCAGGTACCTCCATTCATACAGGGGTTACTGTAACATTGGCCGAGTGCTGGAATAGAAAACAAAAAAGAAAATATCAAGAACATGAGAAGACATTGATAACTGAAATCATTGTCCTTCAATTAGAATTATTGCTAGAGTGGGCTTAATTGTTCTTTGAAGTCGCATCACAATGCTGCTACATTAAAAAAACTATAAGACTCTTTTACTTGTTTTTTTTATATTCACGACAGCTCAGTGGTAGAGCAGTGGTCTCATAACTGGAAGGTCCGGGGTATAAACCAAGCCGATGTGCTAGTATCTTTTAGTAAGGCATTAATCCCCATTACCACGACCCTCAGAGAGTCATTAAAGCCGTCTGTCATCTAGTTACTTATTTCCAAAGTATACAGTGCTTTTTAGCTATCAGGTAAAACAAATCATCTACCTGCCCCATGTACAAGGGTATCTTGTTTTCAATGTACTGTAGAGTTTATCCTGTATAAAGAACACAGAATAGATGAATAGATAAATAAATAATTTTACCTGAACAGGTAAAGTTAGGTGTACTCCAATTGCCTGTATGCTGACAGAAGCTGATTGGTTCATTATCAGGAATATAACCATCCTGACAGGTGTATAGAGCTATATCTTGATACACTGATCCTTGCATCATAATGGAGGCAAGTGTGACATTTGATGGGCTTCCCTCACATTTGACAGCTGTTCAGGAAACAGAAAAGACCGGATAAATATCATGTCATTATTTATATTTCAAAGAAGGGATGCTTTTGTTTCTTTTTACATTTAAACATAGTGTTAGTACAATGTTCAAAGTAATGCTGTTTAATTATCACTAGCTCTTAGCTGAGAATAACTTATTGTAATCCTTCATGAATAACAACTTTATTGACGGCAATAATGTTCGAAGTTTCGACGTCGCCTTTCTTCATGATTTCAGTATTAAACAGATTTTCTGCCGCATATTACTGAAATGTGATAGTTTTAAACCTCCGTCTTTAAGAATGACGTAGTCAAATGTTTATGAATTTCGAAAGATCATCTGTAAACGTTGGCACAGTCCTCACATGAGTTTTCAATAACAGTATATGATATATAGTACTTCATTCACTTGACTCTCATTTCATTCGATGAGGGTTCGGATATCAAACCGGCATAAATGTCCTTTGGCAAGACATAAATCCACATTTGCCAGTATCCAGCCAGGTGTAAATGGGTATCTGGCAATTGCTGGGGTAATACAACTTCGAAGGCCTACATGAACACGAGGGAGAGCAGTATTAATGCTGAAGCGGCTTCTCTGTGGGTAAAGATGATGCAGTTATTTGTTCTTAGTTATTAACATAACAATCACTTTACCTTCACAAGATGGTTTTGAATTATTCCATGCTCCATTATTCATACACCTTAAAATGCTTTCTCCAGATAATGTATAGCCCTCCTGACAGGTGAAATGAAGAGTAGCATTGACAGAGTAAGTTGTTCTGTCATCTGGTAAACGATTACCATGCAAAGGTTCACCTGGGTCACCGCAGGCAGGAATTCCTGAAAACAAATGGAATAAAATTATAATATCGCTATAAATCCTGTCCATTCGTGCTCTCATTTTTGGCAAAGAAAACTTTAGATAATTAATGTCAATAGAATTAAATTGCAATTAACTGCAATCCCACTAACGAGACCAACATCAACCCAGCAGTAGAGCAAACAATACTTTAATTAGTTATAATATTATAATATAAATAATTCATGTTGAATTGCCAATGTTTGACGTTGTAGCTGAGGTAGTAGGTGATGTAATATGATAATCATATTCAATAATTCAAACAGTTATTTATAGGAAAGGCTAGATCAGTGCATATTTTTCAAATTATTTTTTCGAACACCTTGATTGTTTGTTATCACAACTTGCAATTTTGGAGTTAAAAGTGAAACTTTTACAGTATCTGAATAATTATAATAATTATAATAATAATAGTGGGTTCTTGTATAGCACTCATGTCAGTCACATTTGATCCTCCTGGCGCTCCCGATTATTGTTTAAATGTTTAAAAGAAACTGCCAACATGTATGACGGTGCATGCACATTTATATAACCATGGTAACACATTGATAGGTATGATATAGATGGTTTTGTTATCTATAATTTACTAACCTATTTGACATAACGTCCGTCGTGTTTCTCCACAAACTGAATCATCCCACTGGTAGTCATTATTAATCTGCATTTCTACACAGTGACGGTTGACGTTATTAGGTCTATTCGAGCGCCATGCATCATAGATGACTCGAGTTTCTGAAGATGGGGAGATAATGGTTAGGGCTACTATGTACATGTGATATCAACATGGAATAATTCTTTGTTGTGGTTACACACTAATGAAGAAAACCTTCAAGATAAATTTCACTCCTTTCAATTATCTTCTTTCATTTATGTTCATTGCCTCCCTTTGAAAACATCGTTATTTTGTATCGGTGTCTTTACCTGTCTTCACTTTGACATTGCAAACGGAAATTTGAGGGGGATTAATTTTCAGGGCAATTAAAACTGCAAGTGTACATAGAACATGACTTGTGGGATTATACCAACTTTATGAACGTACTACTGACAAATGTCTATGTGAAGCAGGAAAGAGGCCATTTTCCCAAATACTAAATTTCCAACAAAGAAAAAAATAAAGGTTTTTGACGTTTCAGTGAAGGAAACTATTGTCAAAAAGTACTAAGACTACCATTAAATCGAAAATCATGGACAAATATTTTCCCTAAAGAATTCCCCAGAAACAAAATCATGCTCGACCGCAACACGGTTCAGAAGTGAAGAGAAGGGACAACGGAGTTTACCTATTTCATTACCGGCAAAGCCTAACAGAGAAAACCTACAAGCCAAATCCAAAATATCATCAAGCATACAAATCTTTGAGTAGATTTAAATATGTGCATTATGAAAAACGTGGCCACAAATAAAGTTCAATGGGTACAATGGTTTGTATAGAAATGTCAAGGTCATTGCACCCCTTGGTCTGAATTCACAAAGAAAGTTTGTCGAAAAACCTAGGTTTATGTGCGTCATAATGATGCGTTTCAGACTAAGGTTCAGACAAACCTTGTGAATTCAGGCCCTTATGTCTATCTGTTATAAAGGAGTGTTATAAGGAGTTAGGAGAGCGCCTAACTCCTTTCTCTTATATATGATCTGGCTTAAGAGCGTGGACTAGTGGCTTGTTTATCCTAATTCTATAGGTAGGATGAACAGGTTCTACTTACTGTCTACCCAATACCAGGACCGTAATGAATCGTCGTCATCATAACCACCAATCCACCAGGCTGTGTTTTCTCCTACAACATTGTTCTCCTTCAGGTACAAGGCTTGCTTTACCAACAAATCGTTAGTGCTTTCATCAAGTATTTCAGTCAGAAACCCTCCTCGTTTTGTACATTCAGCGTCTCCATCAGAACAGCTTTTAGAAACGTTTAAGAATTGGAAGCAGTTGCCTATGTAGTCTAATACCATGTCGGATTGATCTAGTCCAGCGTTTTGGCAGGATTTATCTAGACATAATACCGAGAAGAAACATTTCACTTTATAGGCTTTACTACTATGTTCTACGTATAGAAGCATCTGCTAATTGTACAGGAATGTTTCAGAATATTTTATATGAATGGATGAATGAATTAAATTGATCATAAATGTTTTACGGGTTAGTTTTAAGCTGTAAGAAGATGTACCGAGGTGCAGGGGCGAACAGTCCCCAGTATACCTATGAATTTATGTAATATGCTTACAGATACTATGTCCCTTTTGCAGCCAACATCAAATTCTGTAGAACTTTGCAGGAATTATGAATATGTCATGTATGTCCTATCTGTGAAATTTAAACGTTAGCAGTGTCCTAATATTCAAATTATGCAAGGAAACCCGTTTACTTGCTAGACTTCACTGTCAGACACTATTGAGTGAATGACTGGCTTTTTTCATATTTGGTAATAACATACATAAAATGAGCTGTAAAGGGTACATGAGCATGTGTCTACATCAATAACCCACTTCTTGTAATGACCAAAATTAAAATGATTGAATCTTTGCGCAGCATAAAACATACGACCATTTGATACAATGGTCTGAAAAATCAGACTATTACTTACAGGGTCTATAGCTCCTAAGTCGATTCGACAACTAATAGTCGTTATTTTCCCACTTATAGACATTTCAAAGCCCCCTTTTTTTAGGGAAGTTCTAAATTAGTATTGTCTTTCAATTGCCGTTGGAATTTAACTTTTTCATTTTGTTTGGCCTGCAAATGGGACATAGTACATTTAGGTATATATTCTTATTTAGCATGCTTATATACATACTACATAATAATAATACATCTATAATTCTATAATACTTTTTTAAGTAATGTATGTGTATGGCTATTGTCTACTTCTTTATCAATGTTGTAAATCATTGACAATGCGGCCAATGGCTGAGGGAAAATGATGACCAAAAAAAATTGCGAGAACCTTTTTTTTAGGTATTCCATTTGGAGACCATTTTATCAAGAGAATACCTCTCGCCACGCCCCATAATTATACCATCTAACCTGATTAACATTATTCTTGTTTGGCAAAAAAAATAAAAAAAAGTGTTATTTACCATACTGACACAAGACGCCATTATTATTGTCCGGTGATCTAGGATTCCATGTAAACTCCGCTGTATCAGACTGATATGAAAGTGCAATACAATCGCTTTGGTTTGAAACCGGAAATGCCTCATGCCAAAAGAAACGTTCGATGTACTCGGTACCTAATAAAAACAATTTGATAAACACAAATATAAGACAGGCCCATATCTAATAATTTATTTTAGACCGCCGTGAGCGTTAGTGCCTGTCGTATATCTGCGCTATATATAGCCATTATTTCCAAGATGATTAAACATGGATTTGATTTGTTCACCTCAAAATGAAGGCTATTATACGTAGATTATAAATAAAAATCTAAACTTTGGCGAAACGATCTCCATCTATGTAGGTCTCATATTTGTAGAAAAGTCGAGGTCTAGTAGAGGATCGATACATGAACAAGTTGTGAATTGCATGGTAAGTGGTTCGAATCTCTGTCACATCCCTAATGTCCTCTGTCAAGACATTAATCTACAAGCCACTCTCCACCCAGGTGCAGTAGTTGGGTACCCGCAGGAAGAAATTCCTTGAATAGTTAAATGCCTCATCATAGTAGCTCTGCTAAAGCCAAGGTAATATGTTGATGGTTTGTAAAGCACAGTAGACTAATTCTCTATAGCAGTTGTGCTTGCTATGCATGAATAATAATATGATAATAGTGATAATATTCTTGGTTTGTATACTTCTTTATATATCGACAATGTCTCTAAGCGCTTTACAAATATATTGTAGGGTTTCCCGTCCATTTTAAAACTACTTCATTAAATTTCGTTTTTGTTTTCGTTAAAATTTTCCCCCAAACCCTCCTAATTGGGCACATCGCATAGTCAAATTCGTCTGTGGTCATTCATTTTCGAACTTTGTTCAATCAGTTTCATAATTTTACATCCAATTTCGTCGGAGTTAAATCTAGTTCATCCACGGCTGCCAACGTACAATTGCACGAATCAGTTTCGTGATTTTGCAATCGATTTCGTCAAAGCGTCATTAGAATTCGTCACTCGTTCTTTGTAATGTCTTGTCTATGCGACGAATTTGAATTTATTTCTTTTGAAATTGATTGTACAAACACGAAATTGATTATTACATTCCGCAGCGGACCGCCAGGTGAGAGGAATTCGAATGACATCTGATAAAGATTAATGGACAAGTGTTGAAATGGATTGACCATTGACTAATATGAATGATAAATAACCCGGATTCCAAGGACTAAACTGAATCGCTATAAAAGGAATTTAAATGAAAATAGTATTCAAATGGACGGGATATCCTAAATTACCCCGGCCATACGATTCAGGCATGCCAGCACCCAGTGTATGGACATTTCTTGTTTCTTACTATTTTTCCACTTCCAGTCTCGACCTTCCCTGGCTCCGATCCAGAAATTATATCGTTTTAAAAACATAACTAGGAATTCCTGCGTCTGAGCATCTTTCACTGTAGCAAGTATCTCCCCGCTATCATTGCAAAGATTTAATGAGGCCTCCCAATCACTAGGGCCTAGTCGTCCCCGGTAGCAAGTGAGATTGGAATACCGTTCGGTTCGGGTTGTGCTGTCACTGTCTTTGCTGCATGTTCCTGTGAAAAATAATAAATAAATTTAATAACGTAATATAAAATACAACTAAATATGAAGATACTGTACCTCGGGTTGAGGAAATACATGAATCAAATAACACAATTTGTCAATTGTAATACATATTTTTATTGATTAATTTGCTGGCTGTGTACCGAAAATCTTGTTTTCTCCCCAATAAACTAGTGTTAAATCACTATTTAAAAGGTCAAGAATTTATTGCGTTTGAAAAGGGGTTCAACATTTCATGCTGGATGCAACATTTACAAAGCTGATTTAAATGTAATGCTTGGGAAACAACATTCCTAAACATGTTAAAACACTTCAACACACGTTTAATGGGTGCATGATCCATCATGGGTAACATAATTTTATACATCATGTAATGACAGATGTCTGCTCTATTAATTGACACAAAAAACACTTTGATTTTCAAAATATAAAAAAATCAATCATACATTGCCTATTATCACAATTATAATATATTGTTGCTTATTAATAATATTGGTTTCAAGAAATTGCAGTCGTCTTTTTTCCGATTTACCCGAAACTCTTTAGTTCTGCTTTGCTTCAACTAAGAAACTACACTCTATGAAGCGTTAATTGCCTTTATTTTTGTGTGGATATATACGTGTATACATGTAAATATACCAACTTGTCGTTCGCAAAGATAAATGACTTACTTTGACAAACTGGTGGATCATTCTCCCATGTGCCATCTTGTAGACATCTATTCAAGCTACTTCCAAGCAGAGTGTATTCACTGCTGCTGCATGTATATGATATCGTCTGGTTTACCACGGGAGCTTCAGGCAATGGAGGATCGAGCTCTGAATAGGCAGCTATGGGAGGCGATGGGCATTCAACATCTACATGGTCGGGAGAAATATTCCATAATTATCTTTGAACATGTTTAGGAACATAATTTTGGCATTCCTTATGTCAAGATATTATCTCGGTTGTTTTTTTTTTTCTTTTTTTCCGTATTAACAAAAGCTTATATGCATAAAAAGGCCTATAATAATGAAAACATTTATACAAGTCAATAATAACAACTGAACTGCTCTTTCTGGAGCCGTTGATAATAATAGCTCTGTTTGTTCTACACCTCTATGTGGTAAAGGGAAAAAGGAAAACGATAATAATGTATCGAACTAAATGAGGTTTTGATAGATATAATATTGATCGAGATTAATATCTTCACGAATATGACAATATCAACTTTACGAAGGTTAAAAAACATTGCTCAATATGTTCATTACTGGATCATGGCTCTTTCTTTGTTCTTTTCAAGTGATTCTTTTTTTCTTCTAATCATTTGGGGTCTTCACACATTTTTCCTAGATATACTCTAGTTTTATCATTCAAACCTAATTTTCAACATGTCCTTCAATAGTAATATAACTTGTAAAAAGTAAATGTAAAACCATAGGGTTTTTCTTCGTGTGGAATCCTGTAGCCAAACAGTTGCATGTATGACACTGTACACAGGGAATCCTGGGGTCCCGACTGCCAGGAGAGTTCCCGTAAACAATACAAGAATTTAGTTTTTATAGTTTATTATAGTACTTCCATTTGACCCACTGGTGTACATAATCATACTCTTAAAATATAATTATTTCCATTTGTGAAAACCTGTTACCTGTGCATATGGGTGTATGACCCATCCAAGACCTGTCCTCTAAGCACACCCATACAACAGTGTTTGTCAGGCCACCCATCCTGTATCCATCACTGCATTCCCATGTGATATAAGAACCTGTATCCAGCGTTTGGTTCGGCAAGGTTATTATGGTGTTATCTATAGGTCCTGGCATGGCACAGCTAGCTGATATCAAACCTGTGGAGAGGATATATGATGGGAAGTGATCGTAACTACTTTCGGGAAATCAACTCAAGGGCAATTTCAATACCCTATCGTTGCTGTACTATAGAAATCATGTTCCGGTTACGTTGTCATGTTCGCACAATTCAATGCATGGCACACAAGGCGATTTAAATTGCCTTAGGTTGATTTTGTTTAAGTAGTTTTTATTGTTGAAGTAGTTTCTATAAAAACGAAGAACAACCCCAACCCTAGAAAAACACACAAGTTTTCACATCCCTGATGTCTATTTTTTTTTTTATTTTTTTTTTTTTATTTATTATTTATTTATTTTTTTTTTTTTGGGGGGGGGGACAAGGAACAATTCAGGAGGAACAAATGACACCTGACCTGGCTGGAGAGTGGCATATTTAATTAAACGTCTTGTCAAAGGACGGTAGTGCAAGGCTGGGATTTGAATCCCCTATCATGTGACCTACAGTCCGGTGACTTATCCACTAGACCACAACACCTCTACATTATTATCATAGCTTTTCTTCTGTGTACTTAAGATCCATGTGTGCCAGATAATGGCAGATAATGTCCGGCATCTGCTACTGCACCACATATCAAATTATCATTATCATGGTATACGTTGATTTCTCTTCATCTCCTTTGTACAAAACTGATATAATATCGGTTTTGTTGGTATGAAATTCAATACACACACACACACACAATACAACAAACACAATAATAAACGAAACCAGTGCACAGTAGAAAGACTCAGACAGGCTACACTGATATATATTTATTAAAAATACAACACCCACCTTTGCTCTTAAAACAAACAAAAAACTTTAAGTTATCAAGGTTGACAACAGTCAACCTCATGCATACACGAAAACTAGGATTGAAGAAATTCATGGAAATTGTGGTCAACAAAATTAAACGCATTCATTGAACAAGTAATTGAAACCAAATACATCCAGGATATGAATGGAGCCGCAATACAAACAGTCCAAATTTTCAGGTTGAAAATAGGGCAGAAATAACACATGAAAGTGTATAATACGGCCATAAAACCTTGAGAGAATTTTTCTTCTTCTTGTGCATTTGCCTATGAAAAACAAGTTTCGTGAATGTTAGGATACACATAATTGCAAATAGGCTACTTTGCTCGATTATGCATGCTTGAAAGGTACAATAACACTCATCTGAACTTTCTCGTCCAAACTTTCTCATTCTTTCTTTGTTTCTTGTGCGCCTCGGAATAGCATTGTCTAGATAGACGGCGCTATACAAATGCCTATTTTTATTATTATTATTATTAATGTCCCATTTGCAAGCCCCAACAACGAAAAAGTTAAATTCCAACGGCATTTGAAAGATACTACTAATTTAGAAATTCCCTCAAAGCTAAAAGGCTTGGAATGTCTTTTTGTGAGAAAATAACGACCGTTAGTTGTCGAATCTACTCTAGGGATTGCAGTCCTTTTATTAAATAGTCTGATTTCCAAACCCTTGTACCGAATGGTTGCACGTTTTATGCTGCGCAAATATTCAATCAGTTTAATTTGGGCTATTACAATAAGTGGGTTATTGATGTAGACAAATGCTCATGTATACCCTTTACAGCTCATGTTATGTATGTTATTACCAAAGAAAAAGAAAAAGTCACTCAGTCACTCAACAGTGTCTAACAGTGAAGTTTAGAAAGTAAACGGGTTTTCCTTGCGTAGTGTGAATACTAGGATACTGAACGTTTAAATTTCTCAGACAGGACAAACGTGATATATTCATAATTCCTGCAAAGTTCTACAGAATTTGATATTGTCTGCAAAAGGGATACAGTACCTTTAAGTTGCTGTTAATGTTAAACACATTTATCAGTACCTTTAATAGGAGAAAGAGTCCCTGTACTATATCTCTGTGTTCAGAACTACCCCACATCCGCTCTTAGATCCAGAAATGTAAAATACCTGGTTCCAAAGTTATTTAACTTGTAATACTCTGGTAGACCCCATCCAGTCTCCATGATTTAGCCAAATCAATATATAAACTTGATTTGCGTGAAAGAGATAAAATATCATGTAATTTCGTTAAAGTGTAATATATTTGTAAAGCGCATAGAGACATCGTTTATCTATTAAGAGCTACATACATCCACAAATAAGTTATTATTATCACCAATGCATGTTTCTTATTACATTTATGTTTATTAGTTTTATTTTTATTAATATTGTTATTATTTTCGTAATCATTTATATTTGTTTTCATTAAACAAATTTCGTTACACATAAACAAATTCATACTCTATAAAATCAGAATATATCCCATGAACATAAGAGTCGTTGTTCATGGTAAGATAGTGCTAAAAATTTACATTGATAACATTGTTACTAATATGTTTATTCAATAGAAGAATATTTCCTATTCTCACACAGTTTTATGAATCTCAGGCTAAACATGTGACAGTGTTCTCTTAAATTAATATTCCGCAGTCGTTATAAAAGATGACTTCTTAAAGTACATAAAAATCTTACAACTACTGAAATAAAGTATTAACGTTAGTAAATTTAGCATTTGGCGTAGCATTGTGTTTGTGTAGATTGCAAATAGGGTGTACGACTTCAATACACACATAGAACTGTTTGAATAAATATTGGTTATCAGTGGCACTGATATCATGCGGGGGGGGGGGGTCCTGATGTAGATGCAATACGAGTTAAAAGAGATATCAGGAAGTGTGGTGTGAGAAGAGGGGGGGGGGGCTCATATGATTTTATTTTCACTTCCTTTTCCTTATCTTTCTTTCTTTCTATCCCGTCTCTCTCTCTTCCCCCCTCTCTCTCTCTCTCTCTCTCTCTCTACCTATATCACTCTCTTTCTGCCTCTCTCTCTCTCTCTCTCTCTCTCTCTTCCTCTCTGCTCTAATTCAAGGAGTTGGAGGGAGGGGGGCACGTATCCCCAAACCTACACTGTTTTATATAATACTCTTTACTTGGATCTATTTTCCTTCAGACCTAGCTTACGTAAGTCATGATCTACATGTATCTTATAGGATTTCATAGGATTCCATGTAATAATAATAATAATAATTCTCAGTTTATATATATATATATATATATATATATATATTTCAAAGACTTCCCTTCATAGAATGAATGCGTTTACTATAATTATATACTTACATAAAGAATGAGACGAGGTGACTACGTAAATGACGACAAATATGAATTGATATGACGAAGACATCATTCTGGCGATATGTCGGGAAATCAGTGACAGAAGAAGTCTATGGCTGAAAGCGCTTATATGACGTATGCAACTACTGTGTCTACTCGTATTCCTGGCTATCATGAACAAACCTTCACCGGAGAACAAGTCTGGCTGAGTTACACCAGTGTTTATTCCTTTACACATATCCCGTATGGAATGATCATATCATACCGATATGATGTACATGTATTGTGTTCGTTCCGCGAGACTTAATCACAATACACCCAGAATAAATATTTGAATGCGCTTGTGGGTGCTCAATTTGATATCAGCAGTCGGAGGCTTTTGATCATATTCCGTGGCATTGTTTATTTGCTTTGATGCATGGTCTATTGCTATTATGCTTGTCCAACGTTTGATAAATCCACGTGACTCTCGAACACGTGTTATAACTGGACTGCCTTTATGGAAAGGTTATGTGTAAAAGGGGAAGTCCCTTTGACCGTCCGTACACAAACGATCAAGACATGTGGACTTTAATCCTATTGGTATTGTATTTGAAGAGATGGTTGAGTCTTGGTAAAGAGGAAAAATACTTTGTTAGGTTTTCTAATATTTTAAATTCAGTTGTTTGGAAGAATATCATAGAAGAAACGTCCACTGTAAAAGGAATGGTCCTTACATGCCCTCGTATCTGAGAATATGACAAGGTATAGCTGAAAATGTTTGACAAAATATCTTCGTGTAGTCCCATAAACCAATTTCTGTGTTCAGTGCATGTAATCTTCAGCAAGAAATGGACAATTTCTAATCTTCTTTATCATTCAACAGCCTCACAGTACACTTCAAGTCGGATGTACTACATTTGTAACCTTTGCACATTGCTTTCAGATAGTTTATATCACAATGCAATCACGTGACCAGTTAGTCAACTTTATCTTGAGGCAATCACTTCACCTAACATAAATATCGATGGCACCGATCGCACACTTTGATATTGAGTAGTTCCTCTTAAGATTCTGAAGTGATACCAAACCAGTGGGTGGCGATACAGAACTTCATAGTGAAGGGTTAATAATAATAACAATAATAGAGAATATTTTTGAAGCGCATAAAAAATTGAAAATTTCTCTATGCGCTTTACAATCATAACAAATTTGAATATATAAACAACATCAATACAACAATAAAATAACAAAATAGATAAGTAAATGGCAGAAAATAGTTATGGGAAAGTTAACCAATGCACCTATTAGTAAACCTACATTGTAAGTAAAACTAATTAACATTACATATAACAAGCTCAACAAACAGACACTCATCATGTCGAATCAGCCACAGAAGAAGTCACAGAAGAAATAGTATCACGTGCAGACCTGATGTATCGATATAGTTCCTCTTTCCTTGCGAGGTAAAACACAATAAAGCCTCGTTTAGATATGAACCGGTAACCCGCGTGGATATTTTTATGATAACGTGAAATGTAATACGCTTCATATTTCAGTATAGCGATATCGACTGCTACCAGAGGACTGGCCGTTTTTATAATTTCAAGGGAAATTTGCCTCCGCTGCTATCACCCCCCCCCCCCAAACAAAATAAATAAATAAATAAATATTAAAAAAAATGGGGGATGCAAAAACCCTTATTCTGAGAGAATATATGAGACACACTGCCGGCTCCACACTGGTATATTCTTAGCCATTTGGGGTATCGTGGTCGAAGGGTTTAAGCACTTCGACTGAAATGCGAATGTCGTTGGTTTGATCCCCGACACGGTACTAATGCCATTTGGTAAGGCATTAATCTACATT